ATCTCCCTGGTATTTGACCTGGATGCACCAGGGCCTAGAACTACACCCCTAGCTGACTGGCAAGAGCCCTTGGCCCCACCTGCTCGCCGATGGCGCTCTTTGCCTGGTTCACCAGAGTTCTTGCATCAGGAGGCCTGTCCATTTGTGTGCCATGAAGAATCACTATCTGATGGGCCCCCACCACGACTCAGTAGTCTCAAGTACAGGGTAAGAGAGATCCCGCCATTCCGGGCAGCTGCTCCAGCCCATGAGGCCATGGACTGCTCTATTCCCCAGGAAGAAAACGGTTTTGGGCTCAAGCCCCAGGAGACAAGCCCATGTTGCAGAAGTGCCTCTGAGGAAATGGAGGTAGAAGAAGGCAAGCCAAGAAACTTGGCTGCAGTACCCTAATCTATCTCGAGCATAGGACTGCAAGTCCAGGGAGAACAGGATGGATAAGGGGGTTTAGTCCCTGTCTTACCTTGGGGATGGACCTTCAGCTGAAGCCATAGGGACCCCTTGGTGCACATCCTCCGCTCATCCCTGGAGCCTGGCAAGCAGGTCAAGCCAGGCTAAACTTTTGGGTTCCTATTTACCCAATGGCTGCATGAGAGGGAAGGCAGCAGTGAGAGGCCTTCCTAGTTGAGCCAACTGGTGATGTTAAACAAGGAGCTCTAGTTTCTACCTGACCCAAGTATAATTCCCCAGACAGGACCAGAGAACTCTTAGTTCTAGGTTGTGCTGGCAGGCGGTATTACCCTGGTTCTTCTACCATCCCAAATCTATGTTGCCTTTTTTGGGGGCATATAAGCTACCRGATGGAACTTGGAGCTGACCAGGAAGTGATAAAGGGCTGAAGACTGGGGTGCTTCTTGCCAGTATGTCTAAGACACTTGAATAATTGCTGTTTGCACTTACTGCATGGTCAGACCACATCACTATGTTTCTATGCAGGGGGAGGGCAAGGTAGCGTGGTGGTCATGGCTCTTAGCTAACCCATTCAAAGAACTTTTCCAGTTGATTAATCTATTTTCATATTTATAAAGGAGTCTTAATGTTCTGCCTCATTAAGACTTTCAACCTTGTGGTTGGGAGTGGGGCTGGTTTTGTAGGCCCTAGGGCCTGCTCTATGTTATCAACAGGTGATAAACACCCAGTTGGTTAAATGGTTTATACTTGGACTGATTTTTTTTCCCTTCCTGCTATAGCTGGAGCTTCGGGAACAGTCTGTCCTTACAGAGCCGCAATAAGAAATAACCAAAGAATGAAGTTGGTCAAATATTTTCATAACTCATTTCTGTTGATTTTTTTGTAAAACTCTCCCAAGACACTTTCAGATTTAAAAATAAAGTTGGTGTTGCAGGAGCTGGTCAGCCTTCTTACTTGTACCCTCATACCTCAGCCTCTGGCTGGGGTAAAGGAAAAGGTCCAGGGGCAATGCAGCCAGTATCTGTTAGGTTCTCCCACCTTAACTCTGTGTAGTTGAGTGTGACATTCACAGGCTAGAGAGACCCAAACAACTCCTTCTACTCTCTGCTTTTCTTCCTGGGCTGAGTATCTCATGTAAATTGGGTCAGCTGCTGCCCCATGCCAGCTTCATCTTCTGATTGTGGGCTTTGGAGGAACGAGAGAACTGGCTCTTGGCCACTGTGAGGGGGACAGCTTTGCCACTCAGATATACCTTGTTATGACATTCGGGTAGCCAGGGTTCAGAGCTGCAGGACTGTGGTCCCTGGATCACTCCCACATAGGCCATCACATAACCTGTCATAAAGGCATCAAAACCAGCCCGGTGCAATCCATCCCCAGGCACTGGGTTAAGACTGGCTTGGCCCCCTGGCACTTCTGAGGTAGCCATGTCAGTTGTTTCATACCTTGTTGCTTTAAGCTCCTTTTCCAAGTCATTTTTGTGATCTTGATCAGAGCCAGGCTGGTCCTTTGTGTCAACCTCAGCCACTTTCTGCTCAATTTCCTCAGCCTTTAGGTCCCCATGGACTTGCTTTGTGGGAGGACCATCCTCAGCTTCCCCAGAGGTCTGTGTCCCAGGCAGGCTCAACAAAGCCCTTCTACGTTTTTCCCTACGTCGTCGTCTCCGCCGCTTATCCTCTATCACAGCCTCATCAGTGTCAATGATAAGATCAATATCATGGGACCGAGGACACTGTGGTCCCATGGGGCACCAGCCATAGGCCTAGAGGTAGGAAAGAGGGCTTCTATAAAGGAGATTCAAATATCAGAACTTCCCCTCCCCTAGGAAATGAGCAAGTGGTCTCACCGAGAAGTTGTCACAGATACTGGTGGGATGAGGACGGTGAGTTGCAGGGGTCATGCAGCAGCGATAGTCAATATGAGCCCTCATGCTAGAAGGATAGCTGCAGAACTCCAGGGTAAGGTGTGGGTTGCCATCTGCCCGCTGCTTCCCATTTTCCCGCTCACTACAAAAGTGCAAGAAGGTATTGGTTCACTAGATCAAAGAGAACAGGGATTTTTGTCTGCTGAATCTTAAAACAGTGCCTAGCACATGGTAAGTGCTTGACAAACATCTTAAGTGAATGAAACAGACTCATACTAGGCCCCACCCTTTTCCCTCAACCATTCCCTCACCATTTCCGGAATGCATATTCTAAGTAGGAGGCCGTGAAGCGGGCATGAAACTCAGCAGCATATTTGGTATCATAAATGCCTGATGGGAACATCTCACAAAGGTCAGCAGTGAAGGTTCCCAGGCTTTCAGGCAGGTGTGCATAGAAGTTCTGGTACAGGAACACCAAGTCTATAAGGCCATTATGCAGCACAAGGGGCCGACGGGCCCGAATTAGCTCCAGGAACAGTGTCCGTACTGACTGGCTCTGGCTCTCATCACCCTAGGTGGAAGGGAAGGGGTCAGATAGACTCCTCTACAGGACATTAATCCCAGGTTTCCCCACCTGGAAAATTTTCCCTTGTTATCTAACCCGATGTTACCCACCCTTGTATTAATTTTTCTTGTTTTCCCATATTGTCATTAGTGATTTCCCATACTCACATAAGCAAATTCTTCTCTGGCATCTAGCCTAGGGTAGGAAGAAATAAAGTCACTTGAGCGCCAGACTCAAGGTTAAGGAAGCTGAAGTCCTACCTTGTCATTGCCCTTATGGTAGGGTATGCCTTGGGCATACTGGCGATTAAAGTTGAAGCCATGCTGCACCAGGAACTGCACAGACTTTGGTTCTATAACATATTCCTCCATGCACAGCAGGGTGAGATTGAACACCTGGACCAGGTAAGAGTGTTCACCCTGAAAGAGAAAGATATCTGTTATATCAAGATTTAGGGGCTGGGAATGTGGCTCTGGCGGTAGCGCGCTCATCTGGCATGCGTGCGGCCCGGGTTCGATCCTCAGCACCACATACAAACAAAGATGTTGTGTCCGCCGAGAACTAAAAAATAAATATTTAAAAAAAAATTCTCTCTCTCTCCTCTCTCTTTAAAAAAAAAAAAAAAAAAGATTTGGAAGAAAAAATCCTCACACCTGATGTACCCCTGCAACTCAACCCTCCTCCCCACAGCCACAAACTTGGGACAGGAGTGAGACAGCTCATACCTTGTCAGGCTGCAGCTTGAAGCAGGCAAGGCCCAAGGAGAGGATAGAACGGGTCCTAGCAGCATGACACACAGCCTTGTAACGTTCCTCGATGCACCTTGGGGTTGGTTTTGAGGACAGTTATGGCTGAATTACTTCATGAAAGAACCAAACCACCCAGGACTGTGACTCCCCACACACTCCAGGGTTGATATCTGCCCCTCCTGCCAGGGCTGGAACTAAAGACTTAATACTTACTGGTTCAGCAAACTCTTTCTGTCTCCAAGCCCACTCAGTTCCTATGGGTGGATTAAGGAAGGGCTGTGAGTGGCCCCCCATTACCAGTCCCTTCAAAACCACCTGTCCTCCCTGTTTCCCATCTCATACCGTGTCCACAGCCACAAAGCTAGCAGTCTTTATGGCCAACAAGAGGGATGGCCACATCTCCTTGAAGTTGTCACTTTGCACATCCACCACAGGAACCTGGATTAACTCATCCCCAGATTTTGTGCATTTGTTGATACAACCTGGGTATAAGAATGGTGATCAATGTGCGTGCTCCCAGGGGAACAGACACCAAGCTAGCCATAGGGGTTGGGTTCTGATGTTAGCTTTTCTCTTAAACCTTTATGTCCGAAGTGCTTCACTGGAATGGACAGTGCCCTGAATTTGGAGAAAGTCTTTAAAGTAAGACTTCCTCCTCAGCATAAATCAGTAGAAAGGTAAACAAGGTTTTCGAGGTTTCTTTTCCCGCTCCCTTTAGTCAATATTTCGCAGGGTTTGAGGATGAGTTCCCTTAAACTCCCTTAAGGCGCCTCACTACTGTTCTTTTGGTGCCCCCGCAGCCACAAGCTGTTCCTAGCATGCCCCATCGCCTGATAAATATTGGCCCACACCAGAGCTCTCAATACGTCCTACTTCCTTTCGACCATCACGTGTAACTTGCCCCATTTAAACGAATCACAAGAGTTCCATCCAGACCACATCTCCCGACAGGCCCCACCAGCCCTACGTTCTCAACACTCCCAAGCTTTGCAGCTGAGCGCGCAGCTCGTGGCTGCTTCCGAAGAAAGGAGTTACTTTTCTGAAGGTTAAGATCTGTCTCTATCAACCAGCCCGAGGTCTTCCCCTCCCCCAGAGCACATAAACTTCCAGGGTGGCCCTTGGGAAGTCGCTCACCGTCTGAGGCCGCTGGAGCTGAAGCTGCGCCATCGTCACTGTCGGCAGCCATGACGCAGAGCGTGCCGCGCGTCCCTCTCTTGAGCTGCCGGAAGACTTCCGTTTAGTCTCCTGGCTCGACTCCGGCGGTCGAGAATGGGGCGGGGTCACACGCGTGGGGTCGCAGAAGGGTTGGACTTCCGTTCAGACCTCCCGGGCCCTGTGCAGGGAAGTGGGCCCGGCCCGCGGTGAGAGCCTATTGGCTGGTGCTGCGGACTCCCCGTCTGGATTGGCCGGAGCCACGCCCCTCGGTGTTGCGCGGGAACCGGCGGAGGAGGTAATTTTTCTTCCCACGCGCGGCCTCGGGAGGGTGGGAACCCAGTCTTAACGCCTGCGGTGTTTGTCTGCACCGTTCCGGAATGCTTTGGGTGGGCAGGGCGGATTCCCAAAAGAGGGGGCACTGCCTGAACTGAGCTTAAAATAGGCTTATGAGTTAGGCCAGAAGAAGGGTATTGGGGGAAAGAAAGGTGTTCTGGGCATGGGCAAATTCCCTGGAAAGATGGAGAGCTTAGTGCGGGCGGAGAGCATTCCACAGAACAAGGATGCTGAGGTTATAAAGCGACTGACTTTATAATAGGGAAGCATTTGAAAAAGTCCAAGCGATGAAGTAAAATAGAATTAAGGTTCTGGTAGTGGGGATGATGAGGAAGGGTCCATTTGGAAAGCAATTAGAAAGTACAGTTGACCTAGACGGTGTTTGGGCATGACTCTTACTACCGTGAGAGAGGAGAGAGGTATTAGGAGTAGTAGTCTCTTCCCAGGGACTCTAGTTTTCATTCCCTGGGCCCAGCAACCAGATTCTCCTTGTTTATTGTTTCTAGGGCGTCTTTTAACTTTTCTCCCCCTACTGAGTCCTTTTCGTCATTATTGAGTTGCTTGGACTTATCCCCTTCTTTTTAAAAAAAGAAACACCGTCCTCCATTCCATTAATTAAATTAACAAACATTTACAGTGTTTACCTGGCTTTGAGAACACAACAATTAACAGAAGAGATCTAGTCCTGGTCCTCCTGGAGGTTTTTTTTTTTTGTTGTTGTTTTGTTTGTTTTTTACAGTCAAGTAGGGTGAGCAGGGCTGGATTATGGCTCAGTAGTAGAGGCACTGGGTTTGATCCTCAGCACCACATAAAAATAAATAAAAGTATTGTGTCCATCTACAACTAAAGATATATATTTTTAAAAGTAGGGTAAGCAGACACTAACTGGAAGAATCACAATTAAGTGTGAAATTACAGTTAACAGCTATAATGGAGGGTTGGGATTGTGGCTCAGTGGCAGAGTGCTTGCCTCACACTTGTGAGCCTCAGCATCACGTAAAAATAAATAAAGTAAAGGTACTGTGTCCATCAAAACTAAAAAATATTTTTAAAAAATAAGAGCTGTAATGGAGACCTAAGAGAGTAAGGTGCTTGAACATTTAAGCCAAAACCTAAAAAATGATTGGATATTAGGAAATAGAAAAGCTCTCTCCAAGCAGAGGAAATGGAGTGTATGAAGCCTCAAAGTGGACAGACAACTTTGGAGATTTAAGCAACTAAATTCAGGTAAATGTGGCTTGAGCATAGTAAGAGGAGAGGATGAAACAAGTACAGCCCTGGTACATGGACCTTCAAGTCTATATTAACAGTATTGACTCATTCTTTTTTTTAATATTTATTTTTTAGTTTTAGGTGGACACAATATCTTTATTTTACATTTATGTGRTACTGAGGATCAAACCCAGTGCCTCATGCATGGTAGGTGAGCACTCTACCACTGAGCCACAACCCCATCCCCAGTATTGGCTCATTCTAAGAGCAAGAGATATGACAGCCAAAGCCCTCAAAAAGATTCTTAGCGATCCTATCCCACCTTCCCATCTCTTACTGTTCACTCATTCTATTTAACCACATTGGCCTGCCTAATGTACCACAAACATGCCAGTCACCCTTCTTAGAGTCTTTCCACTAGCTTCTTGGAATGCCTCCTCTGTGTATCCACATAGCTAACTCCAGCTGCTTTAAGTTATCTGTCAAATATTACTTTTTTTTTAGTTGTAGATGAACACAGTATCTTTATTTTTATGTGGTGCTGAGCATCAAACCCAGTGTCTCACACATGCTAGGCAAGCACTCTACCACTGAGCTACAACCACAGCCCCAAATATTACGTTAATAAGACCTACCTTGACCACATTATTTAAAATTGCAACATTTCATTCCCATTCTGGCATTTTATGCCCTTCATTTTCTCTACTTTTCCTCTTTATGCTAATAGTATTGCCTTCTAACATCCCATATAATTTACTTATTATGTGTTTGTATTGTCTACCCCTATTAGAATATAAGCTCCATGAGGACAGGAATTTTTGATTTTTTTTTTTTTTAGTTGTAGGTGGACACAATACCTTTATTTTATTTATTTATATGTGGTGCTGAGGATCAAACCCAGGGCCTCACACATGCTTGGCAAGTGCTGTACCACTGAGGCTCAACTCCAGCCTAGGAATCTTTGATGGTTTGTGATTTGTTTACTGAATAAACAGCTTGACACATAGTAGGCAATCCATATATATTTGTTTAAGGAATTAATGGGAAGTCATTAAAGGTTGTAAGAAAGGAATTGACATGATCATATCTTGAAAAGGTTACTTTGCTCTTTGGAAAATTGTAGAATAAATTGTGGAAGTGAGTGAGTTTGGTAAAAGAAGTCTGGCCATGAAAGGGAGGAGAGTGGGTCTTGGTTGGAAGATTGGAGGAACAGGACCCTGGGGAAAAAGAGAGATCCTTCCTTCACATAAAAGGAGAAAGAAGGAGGTCAATGCAAATGGAGGGAGGTTTGTATTGTTTTTTTCACTGAAGGAGGCTCTTTTATTTATTTTTTTAGTTGTCGGTGGACCTTTAATTTTATTTATTTATGTGTGGTGCTGAGAATTGAACCCAGTACCTCACACATGCTAGGCAAGTAGTCTACCACTGAGCTACAACCTCAGCCCCAGAAAGCAAGCTCTTTTGATGAAAATGAGATGGTAAAGTTGAAACCTTGAGGTAAGAGTTTGAAATAGGCTTGGGATTGCAGCATAGCCAGAGTATAAGAGTGCACACTCAGTTTGAAAGATCAAGTTGTTTAATCTCTACAAACCTTCATTTTCTCATAGCTAAAATGGAGGTAGGCCAACTACTGTGGTGCATGCCTGTAATCCTGGAGGATCATAAGTTCAAAGCCAGCCTCAGCAACTTAGCAAGAAAAAAAAAAATAAAAAGGGCCGAGGATGGAGTTCAGTGGCTAAGCACTCTTGGGTTCAATTCCCAGACCATAAATAAATAAATGGAAGCAGTAGTAGTAAATAAATAAATAAAATGGAGGCAGTAGTAGTACCTGCCTTGGGGAGCCATCAGGAAATTGAAACACTTCATGGGGTCTTACATAAACACTGTTAGCCTCTTTTTTTCTGTTAGAGAAAAGGCAGCCAGAAGAACAGTCAGAGCAGTGACCTTATTGCTAATGGTCAGTAATAATTGCTAGATCAGAAAGTTATTAGGATAAAAGTAGTTCATCTCTTCTCCCATTGATTTGCCATCTAGTCTTAGGCAAATCTTTTTTCCCTCTCTGATCCTTGGTTTCTCCTTTTTATCAAATAAAGGTTTTAGTGTAACCATGAAATATTTCTAAGTGGAGAAACCTCCCACCCACCCCATGCCCCCAGATACCTTGAAACAACAACATCATAATAAGCATCAGGAACCCGTAAATACTCCCCAACAGAAGACTTTGGTCCTTGGCCCATATTGACCCTGGCTTGTTACTCTGAATTTCTCATGTTAGTGTTCCTGTGCTGGTCATGCCTCTCAGTGCCACAGAGAGCCAAGAGCAAACCCTAGGTGTCTTGAGACTGCATGAGAAAAATTAGATACTCTGTGAGTGGTATAGGGATAGAAGTGACTGTAACTACTGTGAGGCCTCAAGATTCAGTCTCATTGTGACCAACTACTTGGGCTGGGTCTTTTTCTTCCAGGCCATCATGAGGAAACTTCGAGCAGCTGTGGGAAGTAATCTGAGAAAGCAGGCAGCCAGCCAGGAGAGAAGGAAGAAACGTGCCCCCGATAGTAGCCAGTCTGCTCCTAAGGGTAAGAAGCTTGGTCCTAGCCAAAGACTCCAGAGGCTGGTTTCATTGGCTGTGAAAGGGTGCAGATTTGGACTGAGAAGGGAGCCTGGTATGACTTAAAGCATTAAGACACTATTTAAGGGCATAATTCTGTGTTGCTGTGTGACTTTGGGATAATTGCTCTAATTGGCTACTTTTTTACCAATAATACAGAGCAATAGCCTGTGCTTTTCTTCCTTCATGTGACTTTCATGGGATCAAATGAGTTTATGAGCCTGAAAGTGTTTTGTAAATAGGGACCTTGCGTAGATATTTATCATGTCTAACTAAAACTGTTGGGTTTTCATCATGGCCCAGAGACAACAGAGCCAGCAGTATCACTCTGAGAAAATTAAGGCCCTAAATCGGGTCAAGGCTACTTACAGCTTGAGAACTGTGGTTGACTCTAGCTCCAAAGCTTAAGCACTAGACTGGGAGTAGGGGAGGTCCTGTATAGAGTACACCGCCACAGGCTTCTATGTCCTGGGTTCCTCCTGAGGTGGGTTCCCTATGCAGGGAGGATCTCTGAGTGTCCTGGGACTCCTGCAGACCTGGCCAATCAGCAAGAAGAGGAGATATTTCAGGCCTCTGTCTCCCCGTACCATCTATTCAGAAATAGAACTGAAATAACAGCCTTCAGGAAGAGTCTACTGAGCTGGTATGACACAGAGAAGCGGGACCTACCCTGGAGAAGACAGGTAAGCAGATGAGGAACAAGGAGGATTGGGCAGGAGAATGGCATCCAGGACCTTCCATACTAACTTCCCACCTGGGCTTGCACTGACAGGCAGAAGATGAGGAGGACCTGGATAGGCGAGCATATGCAGGTCAGTACATCTCCTGAAAGCAGGGGTACCTTGCCTGGAAATGTACAGGTCTGCAAGGCAGGTTAGCAGTACTCTCATGCCAACCCCTCTCCCCTAGTGTGGGTGTCAGAGGTTATGCTGCAGCAGACCCAGGTTGCCACAGTGATCAACTACTATACCCGGTGGATGCAGGTGACACCAGGGAAAAGAGGGGAGGGTTGGGCCAGACCCCAGAAAAGAGCCTGTACTTTGGGATGTGTGTAGAGAAATCTTCCTTCACTGCCCTAACCCTTGATCTCTTCTTTTCTGCTTTGGAACTATAGAAATGGCCAACACTGCAGAACCTGGCCAATGCTTCTCTGGAGGTAAAAGCTATCCTTGGGTAGTGAGAATGGGGACAACTGAGGGACTGACCACTTATCTATTTGACCTGTGACCCCACCTACAGGAGGTGAACCAACTTTGGGCYGGCCTGGGCTACTATTCTCGAGGCCGGCGACTACAGGAGGGAGCTCGGAAGGTAAGGGGTTGTCAAGGGCAGGGTGTAGAAGCCTGGGGCCTCAAGTGTTTCATAACCTTAAACCTTACCCCAATCAGGTGGTAGAAGAGCTAGGGGGCCACATGCCCCGTACAGCAGACACCCTACAGCAGCTCCTACCTGGTGTGGGGCGGTACACAGCTGGAGCCATTGCTTCCATTGCCTTTGGTCAGGTGAGACCATTGCCCACCCATACTTTGTGTGTGCTATCTCCGAGCCAAGGCTAAGTTCTGAACTTCTCTGTACAAGGCAACCGGTGTGGTGGATGGGAATGTAGTACGGGTGCTGTGCCGTGTCCGAGCCATTGGTGCTGATTCCAAGAGCACCCTTGTCTCTCAGCATCTCTGGTATGATACTGGAATAATGGGGGACTATGGGAGGGGTATCTTCAAAGGGTCTTTTCCTCACAGAGGTGTTCTCTTCTTGTAGGAGCCTAGCCCAGCAGCTAGTGGATCCAAACCGACCAGGGGACTTTAATCAAGCAGCCATGGAACTGGGGGCCACGGTGTGCACCCCACAGCGGCCTCTCTGCAGCCAGTGCCCTGTGCAGAGCTTGTGCAGGGCACGCCAGAGGGTGAGCCTCTTGGGGAGGGAGCACTTAGGAATCCTAGGGTATGGCCCTTGCCCCATGACACCCCACCCTGTCTCTCAGGTAGAGCAGGAACAGTTCTCAGCTTCATGGAACCTGCAAGGCACTCCTGACGTGGAGGACTGCAGTGAGTGCGGCCTTAACCCCAACCCCACCCTCTCCTGCCCCCTGTCAGGGAGCTGCCTATAGAAGCCTCTGTACTAGTTCTTTCTGAACTAGTAAGATCCTGCTGAGCAAGATCCTGCTGAGCCAGGCCAAGCCTGCTTTCTGGGCTTGGCACCTAAGCCTTCCTGGACTGAGCAGGGCTTGGGGATCTCTGTTTCCAGCTCCCATCACTGGAAAGTGCCAGCTGTGCCTGCCTTCCACAGAACCCTGGAACTACACKTTGGGAGTGGCCAACTTTCCCAGAAAGGCCAGCCGCAGGCCCCCCAGGGAGGAGTACCTGGCCATCTGTGTTCTGGAGCAGCCCAGAGCCCTTGGGGGTACCCACATTCTGCTGGTACAGAGGCCTAGCTCAGGTACCCGGATGCTGGGAGTAAAGTGGCACAATCAACAAGGAGGAGTAGCGAGAGGAGTCAGCAGCTAAGGCCTGACCCATACCTGGCTGCCCTCCCTCTCAGGTCTGCTGGCAGGACTATGGGAGTTCCCATCCGTGACCTTGGAGCACTCAGGACAGCATCAGCACAAGGACCTGCTGCAGAAACTACAGAGTTTGACTGGGCCTCTCCCTGCTACCCACCTCCAGTACCTTGGAGAGGTAAGTAAAAGTGGAGGGACCAGGACTGATGACCTCTGTGGCCACATCCACAGATCTATTTCAACCCCCTGATCCTCCTCCCAGGTGAGCCACACTTTCTCTCATATCAAGCTGACATATCAAGTATATGGTCTGGCCCTGGAAGGGCAGACCCCAGTGACCACACCACCTGGTGCTCGATGGCTGACCCGAGAGGAATTTCACACCGCAGCTGTTTCCACCGCCATGAAAAAGGTACTACCTTTGTCTTCATTTCCCCTTTTGTTTCCTACATTGTCTATATGAACCAATTACTGTGTAAATAGGCACACACACATACACACACACACACACATTTTAAGCTAAAGTACTGGGGCATAATGTCAAGGGCAGAAAATAGAAGTTTGGCTCTTTTGGAGAAGATGCCAGCCCTGTCCTYACCCCTTACTCTTGGCTAGGTGTTCCGTGTATATGAGAACCATCAGCCAGGGACCTGCAAGGTAAGTCTCATGGCCCTTACCCATCCTTCTGTCTCCAGATCTGAATCCGTGGGTTTTCAGTCATTTACTGGTTCATGTCTGGGTGAACATTCTTCATTCCAGGCTTTCATGGGGTCAGAGGAATAGTTCTTGATCTGAGGACTTTACAGTTGTTGGGTACAGGGTGGGGGGACAAGAGCAAAGTAATGAGGGCAAAACAGTGTGAAATGTTTGTGCAAAGGTAGGGCATTATGCAGGCTGCAATGCCCAAGGAGCCATGAACGTTTGGTTAGCTGGAGAAGTTGGCAGAGCCTGCCCAGGTAAGCCAAGGCATAAAAACCAAGCTGCCAAATCATTTAAGGTGGAAGAGAGGAGCCAAATTCGTACCTCAGGAAGATTTCCTCAGGCTGCTTTTTGTAGAGTTAGGCACAGATAAGATATTTGGAGGCAGCTCTACATATCAGGATAGAACCTGAGCTAGATTGATAAAGAGGAGATACTGGAAAGAATTCCATGATGTCCTCTCCTCAGTACCTCCCTCTTTTGGCTTCTACACAGGGTTCCAAAAGGTCYCAATTGTCTTCTCCAACCAGCCAGAAAAAGCCCAGCCGGAAAAAGCCCAACCGGGGCCAGCAAGTCCTGGATAGTTTCTTTTGGCCTCATATCCCCACTGACACACCCAGCCTCAACAGTGCAGCCCAGTGATGCCTCTGAAAGTCCCTATCCCTGAGAGTCCTATTGTTTAATAAAGTGCTTATTTTTTTTTTTTATTTTTTGGGGTACTAGGGATTGAACTGAGGGGCACTCAATCACTAAGTCACATCCCCAGCCTTATTTTGTAGTTTATTTAGAGACAGGGTCTCACTGGGTTCTGGAGCAGCCCAGAACCCTTGGGGGTACCCGCAGAGGCCTAACTCAGATACCTGGATGCTGGGAGCAAAGTAGCACAATCAACAGGGAGGAGTAGAGAAAGGAGTCAGCAGCTGAGGCCTGACCCATAACTGGCTGCTCTCCCTCTCAGGTCTACTGGCAGGACTATGGGAGTTCCTATCTGTGACCTTGGAGCATTCAGGGCAGCTGGCTATTGCTGAAGCTGGCTTTGAACCCGTGATCATCCTGTCTCAGCCTCCCAAGCTGCTGGGATTACAGGCATGTGCCACTGCGYCCAGCTAAAGTGCTTATTTTTGTAGTCATTTTGGAAAAGTTGCATCCTCTCCCTAGCCCCTTTACTCCACACCTCTGAGGGACCCAGGAAGTATTGGGTCCTGATTCCCACTGGTTGAGCTTCCRTACAGCTTTAGGCAGAGGGAGGAGGGTGTGTTCTGTCCACATAATCTGTTCTCCTTTCCCCARGAAGTGATGGCTGCTGCAGGGAGCACCTGCCAAGAGTTGACACCCAACACTTTCTAGGTCTCAGGTCAGCTTGATTGGAGCAGTGGTATTATCCTAAGCAGGTGGTTGGGCTTAACCCTGAACCAGCCTGTCTCTACCTACATGGGTTGCTCCCTAGGGAGAAGGGAAGCACAGAAGAATTTGTCTTAATTACCTACCTCAAATACTAAGTCATTTATTTAGGGATGCATTTCACATATAGTGAAAATTCAGAAATGCAAAGGGTTAAAAAAAATCACAAATTTGGGGCAGAGAGGGAAATATGATCATAGGGGAACACAAAGGGGTGGGAGTGTAGCTCAGTAATAGAGCATGTTCCTCGCATGTGAAAGGTCCTAGGTTCAATCCCCATCTTGCAAAAAATAAATTAGTCCTACTCACATTAAAAAAAAAAAAAGAACACAAAGGCTTGTATTAGTTATGTCTGTGACCTAATCATGTAATTTTTTTTATTGTTCTTTGTATCTTGTGAATGTATTAGATATTAAATTGTAAGAAATGTTTTATACTTAAACAAACAAAAAACAACACTTCTTTGGAGCCCAGTGAGAGACTTAACTGCTGGCAGGTACTAAGGAGAAGCAGGGCACACCTGGCCTCTGAGGGTATTGCATTTCAATAGCTGGGCCTCCTCTGGGTGTGTCTCAGGCTACAAGAAAGTGGCTGCATCTAGCTCTGGCTGTCCTCAGGCTTTCTGGCTCCTGGCAGCTTCCTCTTGTAYGGATTGCCACAGTGCTCGAATGTTGTCCTGGCCAAACCCTGTGGCCCCTTGCCTCTGAATCAGCTCCAAGAAGAAGGTATCCTCAGCAAAGAGGGACTTGGTAAAGACCTGAAGCAGAAACTTGCCTTTATCTCCATCTAGCAGTATTCCTTGTCGGGCCAGAACGCCAGGTATGAGCCCTGCAGCTAGGATCTGTTTTTCTTTGCCTGGCTGCTGGTAGTATGCTTCGGGAGGTGTCAGGAGGCGGCCTCCGGCCAAAGCCATACCCTCACTGGCCTCCATGATGTTCGGCGTATACAGTCCTACGTGCTGCAGGCCCGGCCCCCTGTGCCGAACCAGAAATTGCTCCACCTGGTCCTGTCTATAGGTAGCCCCCGGCAGAGACTCGGCCAGCACAAGGGTGGGGACAATGCTGCCGGGTGGAGTCTGCAGGGCCATGAGCCGCAGCCCCCCATTCCCCGACTCCGCTACCACTTCGAGGCCCAGCTCGGGATCCTCCCCTGGGTTCAACGGCAAGTGGTAAAAGCCCAGGCAGTCCTGGAACCAGCGCCTAAGTGTTGGGGAGCTGCCGGGTGTGCAAGCCAAGGTCAAGTGGTCCACGTGGCTGACCCAACCTGCATCGGGCTTGGAGGGCACCGGTCGGAAGCCCGGTAGGAAGGGCCCGTGATAGCCGGCACGCTCCAGCAACGTCAGGCTGAGGTTGCCAGCCGGCGAGCTGACCACAGCGTAGGTGGCGGAGCCCTGAGCATCCCGAACGTTAACTGGGGGCACCGGCACACGACAGCCCCGGGACGCCAGCACTTGGGCAGCGGTGCTCGCATCGTCCACATCGAAACACAAGTTCGTGGCGCTGGGCACAGCATGATGTGGGTCTAGACCGTACAGCGGCTCCCCGGGCCCCGCACCCTCGTTCACCAAAAAGACGGCGTCTCCGCTGCGTAGGGCCAGTTGCCGCCAGCCACCTGCCTCCCGCGCCGCCAGGGGCTGGAAGCCAAAGAGGCACTGCAGATCCCGGGCTAGGGGCTGCCCGGCCGCCACTTGGAAGGCGATGTGACACAGGCGGCGGGCGTGCACGGCCATTACGCGCCTCGTGGCCAGCCGGGCGGTTCTTCTTCTAAGGCAGCTCCCTTGTCGTTCGGAACTCCAAGACTTTTGGTCCCAAGTTGGTTGTCCGGAGCCGGTTGGAAACTGGTGGAGTCCAGTTCTTCCCAGAGATCGTGTTCCTCGCTCGCTCTTTTCTAGGGAAGAAATGTAAAATTTAAGCCGGGTGGCCTTGGAAGCTCGGTTCACCTTACAGTGCCATCCAAAGTGGATCTACCTGGGGATCACCCGCCGGGCAAGGACGAGTAGTAAGGCCACGAGGAACCAGTACTGGGCGGAGCGCGACCGAAAGAGGGCCTATGACTCCGCCTTTGACACGCCTTCCTCCAGATCTGTCGCCTAGGATACAGTGGGGACACTGAGCTGCTCCTTCCCAGGGCCTCTGGCGGGGTCACACTCTTGGGCCTGGAGGCTCCTTCCTGGGTCCAGGAAATCACAATAGTCACCTTCATTTAATGCCAGGAACTGGATTCACACTCTACCCGTGACCTCAAAGCAAAGGACACAGCCCTTGTTGGTGAAGGATCCTGAATCCTTCCTTCACAAACAAGTGATTTCTTAGCAGTTTCATGCTTTTCTTCACAATTCAGGAGTTATCCTTTAAGTTCTTCTTCTTCTTTTTTTTTTTTTTAAGAGAGAGAGAGAATATGAATCTTTTTTGTAGATGGACACAACACAATGCCTTTATTTTTATGTAGTGCTAAGAATTGAACCCCCACCCCCTAGGCCAGCGCTCTACTGCTGAGCCACAATCCCAGCCTGAAGTTCTTTTTTTAATATTAAAATGTTTAGAAGATTTTCATTCCCCTAAACAGTCCAGAAAAATTGATATAAAAAGATGGACCACCAATATGCCATCTACATGTCTCAGCTACATTTATCTCTCCAAGCCTACTTCTCTCAACATCTTTTGCTCCCTTGTCCCAAGAATTGTAGGGAGGGGGACCCTTTGTTGTTGTTGTTGTTTATTTTGTTGTTCCTGAAAAGAACAGCTGCACCCCACCCTGTCAGGACTAGAAATCAAGTCCTCTTTGCTCTTTGAAGCTTCCTAACTGGCCTTGAGCCAATGCTTTGGGGGTGAGTGGGGGTTCTAGCCTTGAGACCCAGGATTATGTGAGATCAGTGAARGGAGGAAATTAAAAATCTGGTACGTCAACTGGATGACCCTTTAAGGGTTAAGGAAGGGCATTCAAGAAGGGCAAAAGGCATAAGCAAAAAGCTCAGTGAGTATTAAGCTAAACTCGGGAGAAATAGCACTGGGGAGGCATTTGGTATGGACACTAATACAGTGATGAGTCCTGCTTCCCCACATGTTGAAGTTCGAACATTAAAGAAGCATGCCGAGGCAAGCATATGAAGCAGGGTTTATTTAAAAAGGGGTAACATAGACTTCTCCTGTGAGGGAGAATGGGACCATAGCTGGTATCCTGGTATCCCAAGAAGCAAGGTATTCTGCCCTTTTTATATGTCCTAGACTTCCTTTGTTCTCCTGCTTTCCCCCCTTATCTTTCTCCTTCCAGTGGAGGAGACTAGGCCCAAGAATGCTCGGTGGGAAGGCCAAAAGGTGGGAAATAGGTGGGCTGAAGGGGGAAGGGCAGGGGGGGKGTAGACAAGGACACATTAACCTTATAGCTCCCTGTAGGGTGGGGAAATTCCTGGGACAGGTTACCTTGGCAACAAGTTGGAGCAGGGGCAGGTTCTTGATAAGATCCCTCAGGAGACAGTCTCCAACTTCCCAGACTTGCTCACAATTGGCCTCCTAGATCCTACCTGACTCGATTTACCTATCTACACTGACTGCCTAATTCTAGCTACAACACCAAGGTTTGAGGCATTGCAAGAGATTCAGGAAGCCTTCTCTGTAGGGATTCACTGGCAATAAGAAAAAGGCAGAGTGCTCGCCTATCATGTGTGAGGCACTGGCTTCAATCCTCAGCACCACATAAAAATAAAGATATTGTGTCCACCTATAACTAAAAAAAACTTTTTTTTTTAAAGGAGGAGGCTATCATAAGGGAACAGGGCTTAGAAAAATAGGCCTGGATGGGTGTTCAAAACTGTAGACAGGAGGAGAGTACCTGGAAGCTGGTCAATGCTGCTTAAAGGCACTGGGTGTTATTCTGCAGACCACTGAATGTGAGAACATGAATTCCACAGACAAACTTGAGTTTAAAATTCACCCCTAGCACTTATTACCAAGACTTTTGGTGAGTTGTTTAACTTCTCTGAGCCTTAGTTTCCTCATCTGCAAAAATGGAGATAATAGGGCTGGGGATGTGGCTGAAGCCGTAGCACGCTCGCCTGGCATACACTGGGCGCTGGGTTCGATCCTCAGCACCACATTCAAATAAAATAAAGATGTTGTGTCCACAGAAAACTAAAAAATATCAAAAAATTCTCTCTCTCTCTCTTAAAAAAAAATGGAGATAATAATGTCACAGGAGGGGCTGGGGATGTGGCTCAAGCAGTAGCGTGCTCATCTGGCATGCCTGAGGCCMGGGGTTCAATCCTCAGCAC